GCATTCAATCCTCGTAAGTAGCATAAGCTATATGTAGCTCTATAGTCAGTTGGTTGTGTTTACATCTAAAACCACAAGAAAAAATCTTTACCTTACCTTCTAAATGTCTGAAATTGGTGATTTTTGTAGCGATTAAAACAATCGATGGGCTGGAAAAAAGAGAGACAGATCACGCTTGCAACAGGTAATCTATTAGAAGAGAATGATTTGATGCCCACTTTTTTGAGAAAACTACCCACAATGCTGCGCGGTCGAGCTGGAAGCTCGGAACTCTTGATCCCTGTATTGTAATCATGCTTAGTCTGATCATGCCCATGTTTTAAGTACAGGTGCTCTCTGAGCCTCAGAATCCCTTTTTCTGCTTTGACGGCACCCGTGACCTCATCCTGATGCATTGCCGAAATTAAAGACCACAGCTCTCTGCTGATGCCCTCCGGTACAGGCTGGGCTAGGGAGCAAAGGGACTGGACTCTACTTCTCCCTGGTTTAGCCTGGGCATCTTTCTGTGAAAGCCGGCACCTGGCCACATGCCTCCACAGCGAGGCTCCTGGAGAATCTGGCTGTTTAGCTGGGACTTAAATTCAAATGCTGGCCTTTAAAACCTCAAAATTATCCTCAAGGTCTCCACTATTCATTATAAAATTAAATTGAAGTTTACATGCATTAAATTTTAACAGGTTTCGTTTCCATGTTTAGACAAATGACGGGACATTTTGTGGCAGGACATTGAACAGTAGAGCCAGAACTGCCTCTTGCTGTTAGCTTTTGCTCCATTTTACTACTTTTGAGTTGCATAATAAAAATCTTGTTTGTCTGTGGTTCGTCATTTTCTGAGTCTTGAAGAAAAGTATCATTGACTTTTCTTTTTATATACTTCTTCTTGACAGTTAAAGGTCCTATATTACGCTTTTTTCCATGTTCCACAGTCAATCCTATACACATACTGTATGTGATAATAATGTGTATGATACACCACACAACACTCAAAACTTGTGAGATTAGAGCCATCTCTTGTCTAGAGGTGACGTCACCTCGACTCAAACAAGCTGATGCAGAGATCAGTCTGCTCCTCTTTCCGTGAGCCCACCTCCCCCCGCCAGCACGGTGATGAAGCATCACGCTCTGAGTTGTTTGTCACCGGTACACTTATTTCTGTATATAATGTAAATACTTTGGTTTTTGTCTTTGCCATTTGGCACGCTCTCTGCCAAAAGTGGTAACTTTTGTTTGTTACATAAAAATCATTCTGATTCTGATTCTTTATGTATCGATGTATATGTATATTTGTCTTTTTGTAAAAAAAAAGAAAATAAAGACAAATAAAAAAGAAACACCGGTACATACAGTAGTAATTTCAGACATAAGAATACACTTTTTCCAAATATGACAATCCGTCACATCGAGCCCTATGTCCTCGATGCACAATCAGACTCTAATTATTTAGTTTACAGAAGTATACGGCGAGTTAGCATCACTGTACTCACAGATGGGGGGGGCCGTGTTACGTCTTTTATCGTGAGAATAACACATGTTTCCAGATCATCTTTTGAGTAAGTCCAGTTCCATTGTCCCTGTAGTTCTGGAACAGTCTCAGTGAAGAGTTGCAGATGAAACGTTATTATAATAGATCCATGAGATGAAAAGATGAAAAAAGTTCTTCTGGTGTCCGCTGGACCAAGCCACAGACGCTGGACTCTGGAGCCGGACTCAGGAGCTGGCTGTGCGCTCTGATTCGCTGTTTAGATCTGTCAGTCATCTCCCACCGGCTTTTACTATTATTTCTATTAGTATTATTTTTGACAACAAACAGCATACTTATTGTAAATTGTTTACCCCGTTTTGACAAAAGTATTTAAAAACCATTTTAAAAACAAATCAAACGGGTGTATGTGCGTCATATTAGTCATCAGAGTGGTAATCGTCACTGAAGTGGACCTGAGCGTTTCACTCAGTGGGGGAGGGTCCCAGCTCAAAAGTGGCCAAAATGACGTGCGCTGACATGCTTGCAATACCACCCCGGGCCGATGGGGTGGTAGAATTAGCCAATGCTAACATATAGCATTGGCAGACCTCTCAAAAACGTCTTTACAGGATGGACCAAAAGTTGGCTCTTGGCCCAAAGCTCCGTTCCACATGTGTGTCAATACTGAGGGGGGTGGATTTTTTTGGTCCACGCTAGTTTACTCGCTGTGAATTTTTTTAATCTCTCGTTCAAATGAATGGAGTCGCGCCAGCGGACGCATGCGCAGATGCGTTTTTTCACAATTTTCTTGTGGGCGGGACCACTCGCGGCCATTTTGGATTGCTCCAGTAGAGCACATTTTTTGGCCCATTAGTTAGAACGGCAGAGATAGGCGTGACTCTGTCCATTAATATATACAGTCTATGGTTTCACTGCCTCTCGAGAGTGAAGGAGAAAGATCGCTGTCTAACAAAAGATTGACAGAATCAATGAATTAACTACTCTGGGCATGTGTATGAAGGCCAAATAGCACTGTAATCATGTTTAAAGCAGAGAAAAGTCAAAAATCGTGATATGGGCTCTTTAAAGCAGTGTTCTCTGAAGATTCGTATCGCACCATTCAACGTCATCATTACTTGACTAAGCGGCACAGAGGGCAAATAATTGTGATAATTCTAAATAAGAATTTGTAATCATAACTTGAAGTCACCACTTACCTACTGTTTGTAAAAGTGCCCTTCAGTGTGCTGCTCCATAATTGGCTGCAGCCTGCCGGCCCACGCCTGTGCCTAGTTTGGACTGAGCCCCTGTGTGCCCCTCCATGATCTCCCGCATGCCACCACCAGTGTTTCCACACTTTTTTCGAGAAAGTAAACCTCCAGGGGTTGAAAACAAGTGTGCACACGCACACACGCACACACACACACACACACACAAAATTGTACATTTACCCTCCTGACGTGTTGATGTAATGGTCGTGTGTGGACTCTCTGGTGACGTCACACGAGGGAGTCTCAGTATTCATTCCAAATACAGGTCTAATCTGAATTCATGAGAAGTACCTCCTCCTCTGTCCTTCCGTGTCCTTTCACTGACCTTTAATGTGATGGCTGCTCCAGGCTTGTTCAAATGTTCCATTTTTTTCTAAATGTTACCACGGACAAGGAAAAGGAAGCACAAGGCAGTATTGGGAGTTCTCTTCTTTTTTTTACTATTTCATATGACATTATAAATTCTAACTCAAGGGAAATAAAATGTACAAAAAAGCACAGAGAAAATAATCTGTGTGTTACATTTGAGAAACATTCTTTTTGGCCCTTAAAGTAGCCAAATTTAAGATTTTCATGTCAAGTCCCCCATCCTCCCTCACCCTCTGTCTACAAGAAATTCATTCCTGGTTCTCTTCCAACTTCCTCAAACTCAACAGCTCTAAAACTGAAGTCCTTCTCATAGCCACCCCCTCCACTCTCTCCAAATATAACAGCTTATCTATCTCCATCCATAACACATCTGACCTCCCCTCCCCTCAGTTCAAGAGTCTGGGTGTCATCCTCGACAGTTCACTCTCCTTCCAATCTCACATCAATAACATCACTTGGTCTACCTACTTCCACCTGCGCAACATCTCTCGTCTCCGCCCCTCTCTCACCCCCCACACCACCGCCATCCTCGTCCACAGCCTCGTCACCTCTAGGATTGACTACTGCAACTCTCTTCACTTTGGCCTCCCCAACAAATCCCTCCAGAAACTGCAGCTGCTCCAAAATCTGCAGCTCGCATCATCACCCGGACCCCCACACCTCACCACATCACCCCCATACTCCGACAACTCCACTGGCTTCCTGTTAAACTTCAAAATACTCCTCACCACTTTCAAAGCACTTCACAACCTGGCCCCTCCTATCTGACCTCCTCCACCCTGCCACTCCTGTCCGCACACTTCGCTCCTCCTCCACTCTCACACTAGGCTTCACACTCTCCGTCCCCCCAGCCAGACTCATCACAGTGGGACACAGAGCCTTCAGCCACTCTGCCCCCCAGCTCTGGAACTCTCTCCCCCCTGACCTCCGTACCATCGACTCTCTCCCACTCTTCAAATCCAGACTCAAAACCCATCTGTTCAGACTGTCCTAACACACACGCACCCACCATTCCATATTGCACTTTTTTAAATGTTTTTTTTTATGGCTGTACAGTGTCCTTGGGTGTTTTGAAAGGCGCTTTTAAATACAATTTATTATTATTATTATTATTATTATTATTATAAGTGATCATTAAATGGTCGAAATATTTCAAAAGGCATTAATAAACCATGCTCTATTCCAATACTTCTTTAACTGATAACAATAGTTCAGCCGAGATATTCCAATTTCAAAATGAGTACAGCCCCTAAATCTTGTTATTGCTTGCTTGCAATCACGTGACACATAAACTTCCGGTTGACGAAGTGGTGGTCAGGCTAGCAAGAGTTGCTGCTGATATATGAAGACAATGCGACTCTTCCGAGTATTTTTTTTTTCTTTTTTGGATATTTCATGACACTTTGAAGCTACTGTGGTGAACGTTCTAACTCATCATTCTAACAATATGCACAAGGCAGAATTTTTCTACTACATGTTTTGGTAATATCAAGGTCGAAGCTACTGGCACCGCGGCAAATGCTAACACGCTAATAATGCTAATAAGTCTCCATTCCTCCGCTGTATGTCCCTTACATTCTGTAACGTCTTTGTTTATGCCTCTACCATCGACAATAAAACATGTCTTCTGTCTGAATTAAAGACAAGATCCAAGACCGTCATTTTCTTCACTTTAGATTCTAATCCACAGCTAGTGTTACAATCAAGCTTTTTCACTGCTAAACAACTGAAGGTTTGGACTTCCGGTTATGGCGGCCGAGGAATAGGCGCACGTTTAGTCTGCCCCCGCACTATACTTTTCATTTTTAACCTTTTTGACACCGCAACCCCATTTTGTTGCAACTTTTTTGGGTTGTAACTGCCTTTTATGCAACCATAGACGCTAAAAACATGTTACAATGTCTAAACTCAAAGGAAAACCTGAGAAAGAACCCACTAGCGCTAGCTTAACTTTGAAAGACATCACAACGCTACTCGAGGAGCATAGAGAAGCCATTTCGTCAGATTTTAAGTCATCTTTCCAGATCCTCGCTTCAAAACTGGACGGCGTAGAGGCTGCAGTTAAGGATCAAGGCACACGTATCACTTCACTGGAGGACAACGCGAACTCGGTTGATAGCCGCCTCACACACATTGAAAACAACTGGTGCGCGTTACAAAAAGAAAATGATTCCCTCAGAGAGAGAGTGGCGGTCCTCGAGAGTCACAGCAGACGTCAAAACATTCGCGTGGTGGGCTTACCTGAAAATTTGGAGGACACACGCCCAACCGTTTTCTTCTCCCAGCTCCTGGTTGATGTATTTGGGCAGAACACTCTCTCCACGTCCCCGGAGATTGACCGAGCCCATCGGACCCTAGCTCCAAAGCCCGCTCCAGGAGCCAGACCCCGTCCTGTGATCATCCGCCTCCACCGCTTCCAAGTGAAAGACCTGATCATCCGTGAGGCCCGTAGAAGAGGACCCTTGCTCTACAAAGACCATCCGATTCGCATCTACGAGGACTACAGCCCGGACGTGTTGAAGCTGCGCAGCGAGTACCGCACTGCCATGGCCGAGCTGTATAAGCGAGGATACCGCCCGGCGCTGCTCTTTCCAGCCAAGCTGCGCATCATGATGCCAAACGGGGAGAGGAAGTGGCTCACATCAGCTCCAGCAGCGGAAAAGTTTGTTCAGGACTTGGACAATGACTCCTAAACGTCTGTGGTAAATATTTCCTACCTGTAACTTGCATTATTTCCTTTATAATGACAATGCCACTTGCCAAATTTTTTCATGTAGGAAATGTTTTTCCCTTTTTTTTTTCTCTTTTTTTTTTTTTTTTTGAAAAGTGAAGGAACCGAAAATGGTTGACCAAGTAATGGGTATTAATTTATTTTAATTTATTTTTCATTAAGGTTCCTTAGCGTCGTTGAGTTGCTACAGAAAGTCCAAACTTGCTACCAAATTGGATGATAATGAAGACTTGGTGTTTAATGTTTTTTCCTGGTGCGGTTGCAGAGTGTTAGGGATTAGGAAGTTTTACAAAATGCTGATTACTAGATCAGAGGCTTGGCTGTCACCTTTTGTGACAGTCTTTTTTGTTTCTTTTTTATTACCCTCCACCTCCTCCTTTTTTCCTCTTGTGTTTTTATTTTCTACAAGTGCTACTCTCTTTGACAATTACGAATTATGTATCAGCCACAACAATTGGAAACTAACTCTAACTCTGTATGTTGAATAGTAATATCTCTAGGCCGCTAGGTGGTGCCTTAAGACTGGTTAGTTGGAATGTCAAAGGATTAAACTCTCCAATTAAGAGGAAAAAAGTTATTGATCACCTGAAACAACACAAGAATTGCCTTTTTGCAAGAAACCCATTTGTCAGTCGCTGATCAACTTAAAATTCGATTTGGCTGGGTAGGACAGCTATACCCTTCCTCTTTCAATAGTAGAGCACGTGGTGTTGCTGTCCTTGTTCACAAGGCTGTCCCATTATCAGTGACTGATGTGATTTCAGACCCTAATGGCCGTTATATTATAGTTTTAGGGAAAATATCTGGAAATAATCTTGCTCTTGTGAACATATATGGACCAAATTTTGATTGTGAAGATTTCTTCAAGAAATTGTTTTTTAATCTTCCTGACTTGAACAGTAGACAGTTTATTATTTCGGGTGATTTTAACTGCTGTCTTGGGTCTCTTGACCGTTCCTCCAATAAACCATACTCTGCATCAAAATCCGCAAAAACAATAGAACTATTTATGCAGCAGTATGGTTTCTCTGATGTCTGGCGGTATTTCAACCCTAGTGCCCAACAGTATTCTTTTTTCTCACCAGTCCACGGTACATTTTCAAGAATAGATTTTTTCCTGCTGGAAAATAGTTTGCTTCCTATGGTGAAATCTTGTGTATATAAACCAATCTTTTCCAGGGAACACTCTTTCCCGATCTCCATGGCGTTTTAACTCTCTCTTGCTTGATGATGCAGAATTTGTTAAAACTATAAGCGACCGAATTGACCTTTTTATTTCTACAAATGTTACACCAGACATCTCTGCAAGTGTCACATGGGAAGCTTGTAAGGCCTTCTTGCGGGGTGAAATAATTTCTTACACAGCCTATAAAAACAAGATGGCCTCTCAAAGAAGCCAAGCCCTTTACGCAGCCATTTCTGACCTGCAGGCAAGGTGTGCAGATTCACCTTCGGCGGATTTGTCTAAGAAACTGTTGGTAAAAAAGGCTGAATTTGATTCATTGGCCACAGAAAAGGCAGTTAAATCTATAGCTAAGACCCGGTTCAACTACTACGAGTTTGGTGATAAGCCCAGCAAAGTGCTGCGCAGCACATCACTGAAATCTTTGCTTCGGATGTACTGACAATTAATCCCCAAACTGTTAACGACCAATTTCGGGATTTCTACTCCTCTCTGTATATAACTGAATGTCCGCCTAATAATGACTGTTATGAACATTTCTTTTCAAGCCTTACCATTCCAACACGACCCAATTTTAGCTGAGAGTCTGGACAGGTGCTTCACTGCTGAGGAACTAAAGAAGGCTGTTATGTCCATGCAGAGCCGAAAAAGTCCCGGGGGAGACGGATTCCCATCAGAGTTCTATAAGGTTTTTGTTGACAAATTGTCGCCCTTGATTCTCAATATGTTAAAAGAATGTTCTGTCACTGGTGTCCTTCCCACCACTTTACGCCAAGCAACCATTTAATTTATTTTAAAGAAACATAAAGACCCACGGCACTGCAGCCATTATCGCCCAATCTCGTTGTTGGGCACAGATGTAAAAATTTTAGCCAAAATGCTTGCAAAACGTCTTGGATTCAATTACTTTATACCTTGCCTATGGCACGTGTCTGCACGAATAACGATTACTCTGAATACTTTTCATTGGGCCGCGGTACCCGTCAAGGGTGCCCCCTGTCTCCCCTTCTTTTTGCGATTGCCATAGAGCCACTTGCCGCAGCCATTAGATCCAGTTCAATGCGGGGCATCTTGAGAGGAGACAGGGTTCACAAAGTATCGTTATACGCTGATGATCCCCTGCTTTTTGTGTCGGACCCCGATGTTTCTATGCCTCCAATTTTGACTTTATTGGAGGAATTTGGACAGATCTCAGGGTATAAGCTGAATCTCAATAAAAGCGAACTTCTCCCAGTTAACTCTGTGGCCACTAAACACAAATTTTCAAATTTACCATTTAAAATTTCTCTGGATTGCATTAAATACCTGGGGATTAATGTAACCTATAACTTTTCAGATCTATTCCGTTTCAATTTTAATCCACTGCTTGATCAGCTGGCCAAAGATATAGAACGTTGGTCGACCTTACCACTCTCTCTTGCGGGAAGAATTGGTTGCGTTAAGATGAACGTTCTGCCCAGGTTCCTTTACCTTTTCCAAAGTTTACCTGTGTTTATACCCAAGAAATTCTTTCAGACCCTTGACAATACTTTATCACAATTTTTGTGGGGCGGGAAACCCCCCAAACTGCGCAAAATCATGCTACAAAAGGGCAAAGAGGAGGGAGGACTTGCCTTACCAAATTTTCTGCTGTACTACTGGGCTGTAGATATACGCACAATGCTATTTTGGTGCAGCAACAGCAATGATAAACCACTCTGGCTGTCGGTGGAGGAGACCTCTTGTCACTCTGGCTCTTTGTTTTCTCTCCTATGTCTCCCTCTTAAATCATCACTTACATCATACTCTGATAATTTTATAGTGAAATACAGCCTTAAAATTTGGAACCAATTTAAAGAACATTTCTTTATTCAGGGAATCCCTCGTCTCTCCCCGCTTCACTCCAATCCCGTTTCCTCCATCGCTGACTGATGGAACCTTTACCATATGGAGAAACCAGGGACTCGCCTCAGTTATAGAATTTTACATAGAGGGTATTCTGGCATCCTTTGCCCAGTTATCTTCCAAATTTAACCTGCCAAATACCCACTTTTTCCGCTTCCTTCAGGCCCGACATTTTATTAGTAAAAATTTTTCAAGTGCTCCTACCATTCCCAATACCACCACAATTGATGCACTTATGACACTCAAGCCTTCAGCAAAAGGTACAATTTCTAAAATATATAGTCTTTTGTTTTCTTTACTTAATGTTTCATCAAACAATCTGCGAGTAGCATGGTCTGAGGAACTTGGAGTGGAGATTAATGATGAACAGTGGGGTCTTGCTCTTAAACGTGTTCATTCTTCATCTATTTGTGCGCGACACTGTATCATTCAATGTAAAGTGGTCCACAGGGTCCATTGGTCGAAGAGTAGACTGGCTCGAGTCTTTCCAGGCTCTGATGATAAGTGTGTGAAATGCCATTTAAGCCCAGCAAATCTTTCTCATATGTTCTTGACCTGTCCTTCACTGACTACATACTGGGACACTGTTTTTGATTCCCTGTCCTTTATTTGTAATGCCAGAGTTCAGAGGTCCCCATTGACAGCCCTCTTTGGCACACTGCCTCCCGACCACACCTTACAACCCTACTGTGAACGTCTTGTGGCCTTTCTAACACTGTTGGCTAGGCGCTGTATTTTGATGCATTGGAAGGACCCTCACCCACCAACTCATTCTCTATGGATTAAGGACGCTCTTTCATTCATGAAACTGGAGAAAATTAGGCACTCCCTCAAAGGCACTCTCTCTGAATTTTCAAAAATATGGATTCCTTTTCTAGACCATGTCTTTGACATTGAATGTGGCTCCTTGACTGGTATCTTCTTAAATAGTCTGTTGAAACTAAGTGGTTGACAGATTTACACATTTCCTATTTACTTAGTAGCACCCCCCCCCCCCCCCCCCCCCCTCCCCCTTTATTTTATTTTATTTTGTTTTATTTATTTTTGTTATATCTTAACAGTATTTCGGATATTTGTTATCTTTTGAGTTGTATGTTGTTTATCTTTATCTTTTTTACATGTGACAAATATCTCTGCCTTGGGTGTGCACTTTACTTTTTGAGGATACCATTTGCATTGTACTTGTCTACACACCTTCCTTTGTAAACTGTTGGAATTATTATGAAAATCTATAAATAAATCATACATAAAAAAAAAAAAAACAACTGAAGGTTTGGATAAACATGGATACTGTAACTTTTCTGTCTGTCTGTGGGTTAAGGAACTCAGAGTTAAGGTCCTGAAGGACACATCCTGCATCGTACAGAGCCGTGTAAGTAACGATTGGTGAATGAACTTATCATTCTCAACAAAACAATGCGTCTGTGGCTGTGTTCTTTTCAGGTCAAACATTCAGTGTTTATTTAAAACTCCAACTCATACCTGACAATGAATGAAATAAAGATGGGGATGTCATAACTGCGCATTGTGACTCCATGGCTGGGTAAATAAATAATCCTTTGATGTAAAATCCTCTGCTGGTGAAATGTTAGCGAGTCACTTTTCCTGCGTCTTTTCGTAAAGTCTTTAGTGCGAGGCTCTTTATTCATCTCTTTACGAGGAATCCTAAAGTATCCATTAAAGGATTCGATTCGATCGGTTAGAAAACTTAAAACAACACATGCAAAAGGCAGATTCAGACACACTGCTCTAGTGAACAACTAGCTCGGCTGACCACCACTTTGTGATACGCATAAAGTAATGAGGCGGACGTGGCGTCAATTGCAAGCAAGCAATTATTTTCATTTTGATGTCCCGCCCTCCACCGTTTCACCAATCAGAAAGTCTGTGATCCG